CCTGCACGAAGACCTTGAAGTGCCATGCGGAACCTGATCGGTCCGTTTCAAGGTCATGGCATGACTCAATGTTCTATTCTATTTATAGTCTTTGGTTGGCATACAAAGTTATATACAGTTATGTAAATAAATATATATATATACACATACACATACACAATGACACATCACATATATAGTATATTATATGGTATATATACATATATCATATATCTCTGAATACAGTACAAGTAATTATTTGTTGTAAAACCATAACGTACAACATCGTACCAACAAAACCTTATGTTATTATATGTTATTAAGATGTTTTGAGAACACCTCGGCACCTCTTAAATCAAATCAAATCAACATGGTCAGATCAAACGAGCTTTTGTTTTGGCATAGCGGTAGGGCTATGACGGCTCTCTGCGGGAAGGACGTTTGGGAACGACCGCGGCTCAACGACTGAGCCGTGCCCGATCCAGGACCTGCATCGAACCTCAAGCCAGTCAAAGATGCTCGAACTCTGAGGATTGTGGTGATTTTCTGGATGTCAACTTTCAACTCGGAACTTCGCGAGGAATGCACGGTGACCGAACTCGTCTCGCGCATCGTCTATGCGTTCAGGTGACCGAAGAAGAAGAGCCCTACACCCCAGGTGCGCAGGGGTGCCAAGACACCGGAACCTGAGTCGATGGGCGACACCGATGTCACTGAAGCGCAGTCCAGTGCAAAACGCCGAAGCGCGGAGGAGGTGTTCGATGGTTGTCGGTTTCTTCTCGGGGGTATGGAGGTTCTGAACAGTGAGTTCCCTACCGACACAGTGATGACCAGCATGGGGCATCCTCACATGAACTTCAGGATCGCGTGTTCTCGGTTGAGCATGTCCAACCAGCTGCCACCATCTGAGACTCGGGAGATTTGGCTAAGCCCCCATCGCCAATTCCAGGTCAAGTGGCGGTACACGAACAGACTTTGCATCACGAGGCCGGTCGCGGCCATGTAGCCTGCAGCTGAACTTTGCATGGCCAGCTCGTACTGCAGAGTTTCTTCAAAGACCTCAGACCACGGCAGACCGACGTGAACCGGATCGAGACGTCCGCCCGGACCAAAGGAGCACGTGCGAGCACGTTCGGGAGAAAGCAGGGCAGGTGTGGCATTCAAAGGCCCGTGCTTGAGTAAATCCTACAAACTGGGGCATGTAGGATCACACATGTAACACAAAGAACGCTCAGAAATTATGAACCACCCAAAAGGCTCCGTTCCCCACTGGACATGGATCGACATGGCGTACTTAACCATCTGCACCTTTTGTTGATGGCCCGCATCCACACTCAGGGCAAGTGGGAATTCTGGTTAGAATAGACTCTTGCCGTGCACGTCCGCTTCATGTCTCTAAGAACAACATCTACAGGACACCCAGTGAAAAGATTGACTAAACATGCAGTATATACAGGCAAATAAAGGCAACGAAGAGGTGGCGTCCTTCTTCCCTGGTTCTGAACACTCACACGGCGAGAAAAAACTCTTACAGTACCATTCCAGCCACTCCAATCCATTCCCTCACGAATCATACGACAGTCCAATCTATTCCCTCACCGCTTCCCACCGGCCCATCTCCCCACCACTCCCCACCGCTTCCCCGAGGGTTCGGTCGAAGGGGCTGGTCTGAGGATCAAATTCCTTTGGATCCGCACCAGTGCCACCAGCAGCATGGCCATGACGGCGCAGCCCAAGCGAAAGAAGCCCTGCGCAGGTGGGCTCCGAGTGAAGTCCCAAAAGCCGGGCACCGGGCCGTAAGAGATGAGTGGATGATAAAGCCTCAGGTGGGGCCACAGGGCCACAGGGATGGTCATCATTGGTCATTGGTTTGACATCGAGTTGCTAAAGGCAGGAATTAGGTTGTCAGGGGGAGTGCATCTAATCTTTCTCGATGGGCTCCATGATTCGTACTTTCCATGTTTCAAGGCACACCGTGAGCTTTTCTCAGCAACAAGCACGATTACAAAAGTGGAGTCATGAAAGCAAGAGTCGAGTCCAAACTGTCGGCATTCCATTTGGATAGTTGGAGCCGCACTACTTCACAACACTCAGGGCCCAAAATTAAGGGTCCGGAAGTAAGACCGACTGACATGGCAATAAAGTCGTTGGGACTGTCGTTGGGACATCACTTCCACTGCATGTTGTTTCAATATTCAGCATCATTTTGACAAAGGCTTTCTGAAGCAGGGGAATGCAAACGATGTATATAAGTTTTAGTCTGGGTGAATTCAACCCTTGCGTATACAAGTGTACGTATATATTATGCGCATATTGTGTCCTGTCATGCTCTGAACAGCGAGGGTGGCTCATCTTGAAAATGCAATGAAGCTATCTAACTTTGCCAGCCATACTTTGCCCACATGTGTGAGGGAAATGCATTGCACAAACGTGGGCAAAGCCTACCCTAATTGAACATATTGAAACTTGTTCTGACAAAGCTGGAATGTTTTCGGATGTGTTCGGCAACCTTTTGCAAGTACAAGTGCAGTTGTCCACAATGATTTACGGTGCTGTTCTGCAACCAGTGTAGCCTGAAGGAGTGTGGTGCAAATCTCGTACCTACAGTTGAACACCTAAGGACTATTAAGGACTGACCATAGGTATCTAAAATACCCTTGAATTACCAACCTACTCTTCACACCAAGCTCTGTGTTTCACACCAAGCCGCGCATCAAACCACCCTCTCCTTGCTTGCAAGGAACCCACCCACCCACCCAAACCGACGTATCCCACCCCCCATGGGTGGCTTTGTAGTAGCAAACCCATCGGCCTCTACGCGTGTCTGCTTCTCCATCACCGATCCAAGAGGCCACTTGGATCCCCACAAGGTCGCCACAGCCCAGGCTAAAAGCAACAAAGGTACCTCGACAGCTTCTGCAGTCGTCGTAGCACTTCCACGAAAACCACGAACATCTCCAAGAATCTTCGTTCCTTCCCCCAGGAGCTCCGTTCATTGAAGAGTCCAAGCCGGTCACCCGAGCCCCGCCCCCGTCCGGCTCTAGAACACACCTCCGTCTTTCCGTTTTGGCCTTACGCTCCATTTAAGGGAGTGAGGCCGACCAGTCGTGGGCCGACCAGTCCACCACTGCCGCGAACGACCGGTCCACCAGGTTGGTCAACCGGTCGGTCTCCGCCTTTGAATTGACGACCCTCCCGCCGAATGCGCCCCACCACTCCCGCCTCCATGATTGGAAGGAGGATAACTTGTCTGGAACGATGGGACAGATAAGTACAATTACGGTCATCTTCAAATGGCATCTTGTCGCGTTTTTGCTTTATCACGTTCTCTATGGTCTTAATGCGGACTGGAGGTTGGAACACAACGCCCGCAAGGTGCAAAATTCTTCATTGCAATACATTCGCACCCCGTTCTTTTACTTGAAACTTCCCCGACTTCCCAATCCCAAACCCCACAAGATCTCCTCAAATTCCTCAAGTCCCTCACTTGGTCTGCCAGGTGGCGAGAGCCGCAGTGACCTGACGTGTTCCCCCGCTTCGTGCGAGTTCCAGGAAGACCTGCGCCGTCAGCACCAACCCGCAGCTGATGCACCGACGCACGCGCTCTGGCACGCGGTCGGCGGCGCAGCGGAGGTTCTCCTGGAAGGATTTGGATCGATTGGAGAGTGGTGGCTCAGGGCAATTGCACTTTCTGGAACAAGAAAAATGTCTATGTTTGAAGCGGGCAGTGGCTAGGGAATTGCACGGTCAAAACTGCAAACCTGGCCAACCAGAAAAAACGCCAGCATGGTGAACGCCTGGTTCCCCAATGGTTTGGTGTGTGCCCAATGTGCAGGACTATCTTCAGAATTCTTCCAACATAATCTAGAATCCAAACCATGGCGCCGTATCCGATTCGGGGATCGTCCCTTATCTTCTACATCACCCACCCAACGCAGCAACCACATAGCCCACCCAAACCGCTTTCCGCGATGGCCAAGCGTCAGTCTTCACGGCCACCGTGCGGCCACCGTAGATCTTCACCAACCAACGCCCTGTTTCAGTCCATCGGACGAGTGAGCCTAGCTCGCCGTCCAAGGATCCTGAGGGCGCCAAGCTGCGCACGATCGGTATCCCAGAAGGCCACAAGAAGAAAGGTATAGTGACGGACAAACACTTTTAACATCTCCTGGTTTCAAAGCGCTTGGGAGACACAAGAAGAAAGGATAAGAAAGGTAAAAGGGGCGCGTCGCAAGGTGATTTACGCGTTCCATCATCACGCGCTGAGGCGACATTTCTACGGACTCTCGCAAGGGTGATCTTGCCTTTTAAAAAAATCGGGACACGCCTTACAAAACATTCCTTACAGGCCAAACAATTCCCCATCTTCACCTTCGAAATCATCCCCCTTTCCCGAAGAAGCAAGGTCTGCGATCGCAGCTGAGGCTCCATTGAGGCCTGTCATCTGCGCCATGACGCCCGGGCTGTGATCCCCAGGTGTCGCCATGACGAGGAAAAGCGCGGAAAGGCGCGGAACGACACACCGTGCACAAGCGTTGGTTGTATGTCTCCAGATGATGCAAATGATGATGATGATGATGATGATGATGATGATGATGATGATGATGATGATGATGATGATGATGAT